ATTGATAAATAATATACTTTATTGAAAAATAAAGCAAATATTGAGAAATATTTCATCCAAACATATAATTATCATAAAACTCAATAAAATCGGGACAAATTCTCTCTCTCTCTCTTATACATATATCGTAAAATTTAATGAAATCAATGTAAATTCTGAAGTATATTAAGAAATTTAATTCATACGAATTTAACATATCTAAAATAATCTNATTGATAAATAAAATACTTTATTGAAAAATAAAGCAAATATTGAGAAATATTTCATCCAAACATATAATTATCATAAAACTCAATAAAATCGGGACAAATTCTCTCTCTCTCTCTTATACATATATCGTAAAATTTAATGAAATCAATGTAAATTCTGAAGTATATTAAGAAATTTAATTCATACGAATTTAACATATCTAAAATAATCTTATAAAACGCATTGATCATCAATTTTGTTCTTAATTTTTGTATAATTTTTACACACTCATGTTTTTCCATATTTCAAAACGAATTATTCTTCGCCAAAAAATGGCCATTCAGGTATCGTTATCTCCAAAGAAATCAAAAGGAATTAGTGGAAAGGAGTGCAACTAGAGCTTGTTATAACAGTAATAGGCACCTTAGCCTAGTACACATTTCACAAACCTTCTTTAACAATCTCATTCGAGCAGTAAAACGGTTTCCCCGCGTTCCACGGTACGAGACAAACTATCATCGAAAGCTCGCGTGTCTAAAACCTAATTCCCGGCGACCGGACTTTTCTCGCTCCTCAAAAGGGTTAACGAGGGAATAAATCGTCGGGGAATCAAACGGCGAGCGCTGCTCAGAATTCGCAGGCCGGGGTTCCTCGCGCGATCGAGATCCGATCCCCGTTTAATCGTGCGTGAACCCGGGCCGAGCTCGCGTGCGAGCCTGAGCCGGCACGCACAAACGCTCGGCTTCGGCTTCGGCTTCGAGATTCGAGCAGATCGCACGTGGAGTGCCTAGGCCGAGGCTAGGGAAAAGAACAAAAGGAACCGTTTTCACGAGGAACCTCCGGGATCGTCGCGTGACGACGATGCTTGCGCAACAGGGCCGAGGAGATCGTTGTCGCCGCGGCCGTCGCGTGGGCGTGCTACATAGTTCTTGTTACGTACGGAGAATTTTCTCGGTCGTTCTTCAAATTTTTCGAAATCTTCCTTCCTTTCGTTTGTTTTGGTTTACTTTGCTTCGTTTCGACTCGTAATGGACGTTGTATCCAGGGGAAAACTGAACTCAGATACGCGAAATGCAACGAGCCAGAGTCGGGCATTATTCGAATTATTTCGAATGAACATTTATCTAAGTTAATTAATTGAGTTTAATTTCTGTCATTTCCATCATTTCTATTATTTCTGTTATTACTATCATTTCTATCATTTCTATTATTTCTGTTATTACTATCATTTATATTATTTCTATTATTTCGATTATTTCGATTATTTCGATTATTTCTATTATTTCTATTATTTCTATTATTTCTATTATTTCTATTATTTCTATTATTTCTATTATTTCTATTATTTCTATTATTTCTATTATTTCTATTATTTCTATTATTTCTATTATTTCTATTATTTCTATTATTTCTATTATTTCTATTATTTCTATTATTTCTATTATTTCTATTATTTCTATTATTTCTATTATTTCTATTATTTCTATTATTTCTATTATTTCTATTATTTCTATTATTTCTATTATTTCTATTATTTCTATTATTTCTATTATTTCTATTATTTCTATTATTTCTATTATTTCTATTATTTCTATTATTTCTATTATTTCTATTATTTCTATTATTTCTATTATTTCTATTATTTCTATTATTTCTATTATTTCTATTATTTCTATTATTTCTATTATTTCTATTATTTCTATTATTTCTATTATTTCTATTATTTCTATTATTTCTATTATTTCTATTATTTCTATTATTTCTATTATTTCTATTATTTCTATTATTTCTATTATTTCTATTATTTCTATTATTTATTTCTGTTATTTCTGTTATTACTATCATTTCTATCATTTCTATCATTTCTATCATTTCTATTATTTCTATTATTTCTATTATTTTTATTATTTCTATTATTTCTATTATTTCTATTATTTCAATTATTTCTATTATTTCTATTATTTCTATTATTTCTATTATTTATTTCTGTTATTTCTGTTATTACTATCATTTCTATCATTTCTATCATTTCTATTATTTCTATTATTTCTATTATTTCAATTATTTCTATTATTTCTATTATTTCAATTATTTCTATTATTTCTATTATTTCAATTATTTCTATTATTTCTATTATTTCAATTATTTCTATTATTTCTATTATTTCAATTATTTCTATTATTTCTATTATTTCTATTATTTCTATTATTTCTGTTATTACTATCATTTCTATCATTTCTGTCATTTCAATAATTTCTGTCATTTCTATCATTTCTACAGGGTGACCAATTTAAATCGTGTCAGGAATACCAATGACGCAATCGGCCTAAATGAATTTGATAGTACAGAAAAAATAAGATGAAGATCGAGGCTTCCGCCCGTAAACATTTCAAGCATCCATTGCAATGTTCAATTGGTTACATTATCGACGATGTATTATATTAATCCTTTGGACTACGATTTATTTCATAGCTGCATTGATTAGCATCTGTTTGTTACTAATACATTCCTATGCCAGACAGAAGAAATATATGTATACATATATATTTACTACATGGCGATCGTTATTTCAATTTTTCAATATTAATGGTAGATGAGTAGAATTTAATTTCGATTTGAAAAATCTGAGTAACCGTACATATTTAATAGAAAATCTTTATCACAAGTCTGACACGATATTATAGGGGAAAGGGCAAAAGGGCGAATAAGGCAATGGGCAAACTAATTAAATATTATATACGTTAAAAATATACTGATATACTTATATAATGAAAAATGATTAACTGAGTTCAAGTAAAAGTTGAATAATTTCCGGAATCAGATGATCCGAAATTAATAAGGCTTATCTAGGTCGACGCGTAAAGACGATTCGAAGGTCGACTTCATTTTTCAAAATGGAATCGCATATTTTTTGTTGCATCTATCGATGCAGCTCGTTATTTTCTACGTAAAAGTACTCGCTTGTGTAAACGTAAAATATAAGTACATAATAAACGTAATGTAAAAATGCATAATAAACGTAATATAAATGCCCACCGATCTCAAAATCTTGTCCAGCAAGCGTAATCTCGGGAATCTGCAAAGGCCTGTGGCGATCGGAGTGCCGTCAACATTTTCTGCTATTACTTCGATCTCTTGATTTTGTAATGGCAAGTGAATTCTTCGCATTTTTTTCGTACTGTTTATCATTAATTACCCTGTTAATGTACGTGCACGATTGCCGAAAATTTTACATAAAAATTTCGAACAGATGAATAACTTATTCGATACTATAGCTTATTATTTTCTGTAAAACTACTGTCATTAATTTTCATTAACTTTTGCAGTATTAATTTTAATTTAACGATCAGTGAAATCTACACAGTATAATCATTTTTACACTTAATTATTTGTTGCACTTTATTGTACGATGAAAATTGAATCAAACGATCGAACAATTGAAACACGCGACACTGTGTGATCCGAACACTGATCTCGAAATATTGCACAAATTTCGCGAAACTACTGGAAGCAATTTTAAATACCTCGAAACGGGCAGGGGAAACCGACTTTTGCACGGGACAACGTTCGACTGAATCATTCGGTGGACAGTATTCGAAAATGTAAATAGAGAACTATCGATAGCTGTGTTTATAGCCCTGTGCTAACGATACGTGGGCTCTCCGCAGCTTAGGTAATTTATAGAGGTGTGCAAGGTATATCGAAAATATCGAGATGTCGACGTTTGAGACGTGACGGGAAACACTAGATGAGGCGAAACCAATCCTCGGAAGTATCTTGAAAGTCGAGAATGCGAAATTTTCGGTCATTTTGTAAATTATTAATATTCAATCAATTAGAGTAAATTGCTGTTGTAAATAATTAATAATGCGTTTGTTAATGAACGTTGATATTGTAGATTATTCGTATTGAATTCATTCGTATTCATTTCAGACTATTGATATGGTAGATTATTGATATTGAAA